CCACTTGGCGCTCAACGGCAAATCCTTCGCCGTGCTTTGCGAGCACTTCGCCGACCTCCTGCCCAAGGTGAAGCCCGACGGCGGTGGCGGGGTGGGAAAGAAAAAAAACCTCCGGCAAGGTTGACTTCACCGGGGTTTTGCCTTGCAGCTCCAAATCAAAACGCCCTGAGGGGTGGGGTGGTTTATTATTTTTTTTTTTTCGCCGGTGCAAGATGCTCTCTGCCCCGCTGAGCCGGTAAAGCTCTAAATAACGCGGCTCCTGCTGGGTGCGCGGGGATGCGAGGGGCTGCCGGAGGAAAATGGAGCCTTCCCTTCTTTGCAGATCCTCATCCGAGCCACCGTGTTCGCCCGCATGTCGCCTGAGCAGAAGACTCAGCTGGTGTGCAGCCTCCAAGAGCTCAAGTAAGTCCCTCCGGCCCCCGAGGGACGGGGGACAGAATCACAGAATCACAGAATCATTAGGGTTGGAAGGGCCCTCTGGAGATCATCTAGTCCAACCCCCTGCCAGAGCAGGGTCACCTACAGCACGTTGCACAGGACAGCGTCCAGACGGGTTTGGAATGGCTCCAGAGTGGGAGACTCCACCACCTCTCTGGGCAGCCTGTGCCAGTGCTCCACCACCCTCAAAGTAAAGAAGTTCCTTCTCATGTTAAGATGGAACTTCCTATGTTCAAGTTTATGCCCATTACCCCTCGTCCTATCACTGGGCACCACTGAAAAAAGACTGCTCCCATCCCCCTGGCATCCTCCCTTTAAGGATTTGTAAGTATTAATAAGATCCCCCCTCGATCTTCTTTTCTCTAGACTAAAGAGACCCAAGTCCTTCAGCCTTTCTCCGTAGGAGAGATGTTCCAATCCCCTAATCATCTTCGTTGCCCTTTGCTGGACCCTCTCCAGCAGTTCCCTGTCTTTCTTGAACTGGGGAGCCCAGAACTGGATGCAGTACTCCTCACAGAGGAGGGTGAAGGGCTTTGTCCTCTGCCCGGAACCTTCTTTTGCGTGCCGGGGCGGTGGGCAGCTGCGCAATGGCATCCTGCCCTCTCCCAGATGTGGGGTGATCCTAAATAACGGGGGTGCAACCTCGAAGAGCCGAGGTTTTCCCCGTCCCCTCGTGAAATACGGGCTCCCTTCTCGCCGTAGCTACTGCGTGGGGATGTGCGGGGACGGCGCCAACGACTGCGGGGCTCTGAAGGCGGCCGACGTGGGCATCTCGCTGTCGGAGGCGGAGGCGTCGGTGGCTTCGCCCTTCACCTCCCGCCTGGCCAACATCCAGTGCGTGCCCACCGTCATCCGGTGAGCTGCCGGGAGCCGCCCGGGATGAAAACCCAAGGGATGGGGGATGTCTCATGCCTCTGGCCCCTCTTTGGGACCACTCGTGGAAGGGGGGTTGTGGCTGGTGGGTGCCTCTATCTCTCTGCAGGGAGGGCAGATGCTCGCTGGTCACCTCCTTCGGCGTCTTTAAGTACATGGCCCTGTACAGCCTGGTGCAGTTCGTGTCCGTCCTGCTGCTCTACACGGTGCGTCCCGCGCTCGCCCGAATGCCTTGAGATGCTCAGGGATGCCTTTGAGTCACCTTGTCACCGCCGGGTTTCAACCTGTCCCTTTGCCTAGCTCCTCCGACGCTGAGAGCGGGGTGGTTTCTCCTTCTCCAGATCAACACCAACCTGAGCGATTTCCAGTTCCTCTTCTTCGACCTCATCATCACCACCACCGTGGCAGTGCTGATGGGTCGCACCGGTCCTGCCCAGGAGCTGGGTGTGGAGCGTCCCCAAGGGGCGTTGATCAGCGTCCTCGTGCTGGGCAGCCTTCTCCTCCAGACAGCTCTGCTCATCACCGTGCAGGTCCTCAGCTACTTCATCACCGTCTCGCAGAGCTGGTAAAGCACCCGGCTTCGTGGGGGGGGGAGCGATGGGAAGGGCGCAGAGGATTGCAAGGAAGCCCGCGGGCCCATCCTTGGTTTTGGCCGAGGATGTGTCCGGCCATCTTGCGGCGAACGGCTGGTGGAGAACGAGGGGTCGGCGTTTGGAACCTCTCCTTGCCTCTGGCTTCGTCTCACCCCCTTCCTCCTCCCCTGCCTGCCTCAGGTACGTGCCGCTGAACAGCACGGTGACGGCTCCCCAAAACCTGCCCAACTACGAGAACACGGTCCTCTTCTGCGTCACGGGCTTCCAGTACCTCATCCTGGCCGTCGCCATGTCCAAGGGGTACCCGTTTCGGGAGCCGCTCTACACCAACGGTGAGGATGATGCTGGCCACGTGGTCGAAGAGAGACGTCGAACCTTCATCCCCCTCCTCAACCCTCTTCCTTCTCGCCCTCAGTGCTCTTCTTGGTAGTCCTCATCCTCCTTTTTGGCCTCATGATATGGTTGACCCTCTACCCGCTGGGCTTCCCCAAAAGCTTGCTGAAGCTGCAGGGCATCGACGACTTGAATTTCAAGCTGCTGCTGCTGGGGATCGCTGCCCTCAACTTCTTTGCCGCCTTCGTGCTGGAGGTAGGTGAGCCCAGGGTGGGCGTTGGGCACACGGGGGATGCGCATCATCCTTTTGGCTCTGTCCCAGCCTTTTCCAGGAGCCGTGGGCACGGAGAGAGCAGGGCTCACCTTGGCATCACCTCTGCTCTCTCCTCGGGGTCCACAGCCTCCCCCAAAACCCATTCTCTCCCCCACACACCTGGTTTTGCCGCAGACCGCCCTGGACCACGGCTTGCTCAGCTGCCTGCGCAAGCTGCGCCGAAGGAAAGTGTCCAAGAAGCTTTTCAAGAGGTTGGAGAAGGA